GTTTAATTATAAATTTGGTAGGGAATGACGGCGGAAAAGTAGGCGGAGCGAAGGATTTGATATTCGATTTAGACATATTAGTCTATAAACTGTCTAAGTCTGTCTTGTCTGTCTGTGGGTAGGTTGATTTTAAAATAGCTGATCTTTCAATTAGGACTCAAAGGGGGGGGGGGGACAACTGTGCTGCTGCTGCTGTTATGGATTATGTGCAATGAGAATTGTTAATGGAAGGAAAAATGTAGGATGGAAGGTTGTTTAGTTGCTGCAGTATACAGTGTTGATGTTGTGTTTGTGGCCGGTGGTGTTCGGGCGTGTAGCTGCTATACGCATGCGCAGCTGTGGTTGTGTTTGTTGCAGCTTTTGTGAAGTTGAACCTTATTGGCCACTGGCTACTGTGTTTGAGTTGAATGAAGAAGAAGAGAATCTGTATTTGGGTGAATTGAATGGCGGGAAATGTAGTGTGACTAACAGAAGAGCGGAGAAGAGTGAACAGCTCAATTAGACACAAATTGGTCCTATTGTTGTGGAGTGGACAGAGGGGGGAGGGGGAGATGGAAGACAACAATAGTCCCCTGAGTCAACCACAGTCCACTACGCCCAAACAGTAGCCAGTTCACTCTTCTCTCTCTCTCTCCTCTCTTCCTTCGACCCCCCTGGCCCCTAGCCAGTCTCCATCCCTAGATAGATCGAATTGAACGCAGAGAGAGAGGGAGGAGTGATCGCCCATTCTGAATTGTATCATTTGAGCTGCTCTACCACTTTCCCCTCCCTTTCTTTCTTTTCTTCTCTCTTATCAGTGAACAACAAAAGTGCGCAAACAGCAATGGGAAAGCTAATGAGCAGTAGCTACCCCACCACTGTTCCTTCTCCCTTCCGGCAAAGGGGGTAATTCAGAGGGCGAGATTGAGGTCATATTTGGAGACTGTTTGATAATAATATTGAGGATGTTTGTGATGTGAGGAGAGGATGTTGACAGGACATGGATCTTGCTTCTGCTTAGATAATTAGAGGAGCACTTCCGTCCAATTAAGGGGGGGGGGGAGGGGATACAAGCGTGAGCAGTGGTGACAACCGTAGCTCTCCGTTGAGACGTGCCAGCCTTTCTATTCTTATGTTTCTACTGCAGAAGACAGAAATTGATCTGTAGAGTTTCCCTCCTCCTCTTTCCCTGCTATGAAAGGGATGGAATGGGATGCCCATTTGGCAACATGTCATTTGGTGGCAGCAGCAGCAGCAGCAGAGATATTGAGAGATATTCCCACGTAATTGGACATTGCCAAAATGCACACAAAACTACAAGTCCCCTGAGGTATTTCACAAGTATAATCTAGTGGCTTCAAGCCAATTTTTTCACTTCAATTGGGACTCATGGTGTGTGTTCTGATTGGGAATTTGTACCTGATTTTCCGACTAAGACAGTTGTCGGGAAGGGAGGGATTATATGATAATACAGTCACTGAACTGGCCTTGATTACTATAGCCAGTTGATTTGTGTACACAACTTGTGCTATTTTTGCCTGCAGACAACACGAGAATTAGCCTTGAACGGTTTGAGTGACCTAATTTTGAGTCGTTTCGAGGTAAACAAATTTTTATGCTCTCTGGGTTGCACAAATTGCTGAAATCTTAATAGAAATAATAGCTCATGTTTTTCATGGCAACATTTTTTTCCGGGTTTTGTTGTTTTTTTCTTTTCTTGGCTTGATAGGTTTCGGGCCCAAATTACATCGGCTTAATGGCCTCATATTGAGTGTTCAGAGGAGCGAAAATATTTTGCATGTGCGCGTGTGTGTTTTGAGGGGGATGGGAACAACCGCTTGTTAAATTTTCTTTTGCTTCGAATTTCACATTCCCTTGTCCTGGCATGTTTTTGCTTCAAAGATTCATTTTGATAGATATAGTTTTTTTCGACATTTTCGAAATTTTTTGATGTCTTGACTGAGCGGCTTTCTGATTTTGTATCGCAAGTTGTACGAAGTGCAGCTTCGCCTCTGAGTTGAAAAGTTCATTCCAAGTCTAGTTTTTAGTTTTTCACGTGAAAATAGGAGGCGGAAATTTGCGTCTTGGCTTTCTCATTTCAGTTAGGTTTTCATCTGGTGATCTTATCAAATTCCGGTTTACGTGCAAAAGAAGGGCGTATGAAATGAAAATGGGAAGATGTGATAATGCGATATGGTTGCTCGTGTCTTATGATTCGTCTCTCTCTTGTTCACAGTCAATGTATTCGAATGGATAACAGATGTATGGATAAACTGAAGTGGTACTTGAAGAATTCTCTCACAATTCAGAACAAGATTTCTAGTTGCCTGTAGAGTGTGCCATTTGGTCCTTCGCGAATGAGAATAGACCCCGGAGTGGTGGAATCCCTCATACGCGAAGGACCGAATGCGCGAAAACAAAAATCAGCCTATAAGATTTCAGTAATCCAAAATTTGGAAAGAAAGTAAACATTTCCAGGGACTGAATATTGATATTGACCGAATATAAAAACGGCAGAAGTATGCAAAGTTTTCAAATTGTCACTGACCGCCACCGAATGGGAACAAATTTTTTATCTCAAGTGTTTCGTTATGAAAGAAGCAAAATTTTGCTTCATTTATTACATTTTAATTGAATGGCAACTGCTTCTTTTTGAAAATTGACTTCCGGCTAAATTTGTTTTCGGTCCTTTGCCCACAATTTTTTTCGCCGATCCGGTCCTTCGCGCATGAGAATAGCCCCCCATTCGGTCCTTCGCGCATGAGAATAGCCCCCAATCAGATTTCAGTGATCTACCATCTGGAAAGAAAGTAAACATTTCCAGGGACTGAATATTGATATTGACCGAATATAAAAACGGCAGAAATATGCAAAGTTTTCAAATTGTCACTGACCGCCACCGAATGGGAACAAATTTTTTATTTCAAGTGTTTCGTTATGAAAGAAGCAAAATATTGCTTAATTTATTTCATCTATCTATTATATATTTAAATGCGGGTTTCACTATCTCGCCATGTTTAAGTTTTTCCAGTATTATTTTTGCATGTTTAACGAAAGAATTTTTGCACGTTTAAGCTTTATCGTATATCGCAATGGTGAAGATTTTTTTCGATTTTCCAATTTGAGTTCAGTTGTTATTCCACCGAGTTTAAAATAAGCAGCCCAAAAGTGGGAAGCTGTCAGGATTCCCCAAGAGGTTGCGCAAATCCTCAATTTTTTTAGTGTACGAGATACGACGATTTTTGTGACTTTTTTCAAAAATTGTCAGAAAACACAAATTACAAAGTAATTTACTAAACTTGAAATTCCCAACCCTGTAGTTGAGTGCTGTCAGAGTACTCTCAAGGACAGCGAATCCTGTCTCCAAATGTGACGGCTCAAATCTTTGTACTATTCGAGATATGACGTTTCAGAAAACTTTCAGATATGACGTTTCAGATATGACGTTTCTGAAATTTCAGAAAACTTGGACGAATTTTTTTTTCTTCAAAATATCAATTTCTCAACTCTGTAGTTGGGAGCTATCAGAATTCTCTTAGGGATTGCGAACCTTGCCTTCAATTATGACTGCTCAAATCTTTGTAGTTTTCGAGATATGAGGTTTTTGTGATTTTTTTTCAAAATTTTTTCAGAAATTCATTAAATTTAATTTTGTTTCTTCCGCATTTAAATTTTTCAACCCTCTTGTTTGGGGCTGTCAGAGTGGTCTTAAGGTCTCAGGTGTTGCGAATCTTGCCTCCAACTGTCACTGTTCAAGTCTTTGTAGTTTTCCAGATATGACGTTTTTTGTTATTTTTTCAAAAAAATTTCAGGAAACATTAAATTTTTTTTCTGAAAATTTTGAAGTTCCAAACCCCATGTTGTTGGGGCTGTCATAGTACTCTCAGAGATTGCGAGAGATCTTGCCTCCAATTGTGGCTGCTCAAATCTTTTGGTTATTTTCGAGATATGACGTTTTTTTTCTGGTTTTTTCAAGAATTTGTTTTTAGAAAACTTAATTTTAAGTTTCTCGAATTTTAAAATTCGCAACGCTGTAGTTGGGTGCTCTAAGAGCTCTCTCAGGAGTTGCAAATCTTGTGCCCAAATGCGACTGCCCAATTAGTTTTATATTCCGAGATGTGATTTTTCTTAATTTTTCAAATAGTTTTAAGTTTTTCAAAGAATTTATATATAAAAAACTTATGGTTTTCAAAAATTTGAATTGAAAAAACTTAGTTTGAATTTGAAATTACCAACCCTGTAATTCGGCGCTGTCAGAGTACACTCAAAGCATGCTGATTTTTTTCCAATTTACACGGTTTTTTATGAGTTGTTAAAATTTCGAAGCACCGGAGGTGCGTTACACGCTAGTTTTAATTGAGTGGCAACTGCTTCTTTTTGAAAATTGACTTTCGGCTAATTTTTTTTTCGGTCCTTTGCCCACAAGTTTTTTCGCCCATTCGGTCCTTCGCGCATGAAAATAGCCCCCGCTGGAGTTTTTTGAGGCCAGTAATTTCGAATTTTTTGAAGGAAAATAGCCTCTTTAAGCAGTTTTTTTAAAAGCAATCAATATGAAATTATACGTGTTTCTCGGCGCGAGCTCCTGCTCCTCAAAATGAGTGATCATTAGTGCTAAAGGGGCCTGCTGACAACATGACAATTAGTCAGCCAGAAATTGCTGTGGTAAAATATAAGCAAAAGGGGGAAGCGGAATTGAATTGTGGTATTACTTGAAGCTTCGGTCAAATTATTGGTCAGCATAATTATCGAGGGAGGAAGTGGAGGGGGAGTTGTTGGAATTATTCTAATGAAAAGAATGGTAAGAGTAGCAGCAGCAACTTGTGAGCACGTGATCCTTGAGGAATGACACCAACAGAACAAACACTCCTCAGTTCTTAGTTGGCCAGCACACCCAACATCAAACGGACAGGTGAAGGGGCACTGCTGGCGCACAAATGAGTCATCGTCACCCTGCCTGTTTGATTGATTATTACTTGCAATTTATTAGCTGAATGTAGTGTATTTTTCCTCCATGGGTTTTCAGAGTCGAATGGTATGTTGACGCCTACAGGCCAACAACAATTGTGTCCTTCTGTGGATTTAGAAGATGTGCTGCTGTTTGCGGACACTTTCGACCACTCAGAAGACAACTATCCCCTCGTAAGGTTCCATTTCATACACACACCCAGCAGCCCACTATATATTGAGATTCAACGCGCTTAATTTAACGACAAGTGCGATAATTGTGGAAAAGTTGGGTTAACAAAAATCAGAACAAGTTTGAGTGTCTTTTGCACTGAATGTGTTTTTACGGTGGTAAGTCAGTAAGCGGACATTCAATTACTAAATCATTGGAATTGAATGTTGAGATTTGTATAATATGACAACTTTTTGCCTCAAAGCAAATTGCTTGAAAATGAAATACAAAAACTCTTGCCATGCGCGTCACGCAGTTAAAATTACTTCTTTTGTTCTTTGATTTCGCAATTGACGTAATTATTACGTAATTCGACTTACAGATCTGGTAATTTTCTGGCACAGTTTACTCAACGCGCCCTTGTTTTTGCACAAGCAAACCCTTTCTATGGCTCAGACTTAGAGTTTATGGTCAAATTGCTGCAATTCATATTTCTAGTTAGATGAAGAGATCATCGATGCCAGATTTGGGATTTTTATGTCATGTTCTTTGCTTTGAAAGGGTGACTTCTCATGTGGCATAACTCCCATATGGCATAAAATTCAAATTTTTTCCCAAATTTCCTTAAAACTCAAGGCATTCTATCAACTAATGTTTCTCCTTTTTTTTATCAGGAACGAGATCATGTGAACAAAGATTTAGAGTTGTTAGCTTCCAAACAAATGTTGATTGAAAATTTGGTTGGAGAAATTGATAACAAGAAAGTAAATAGTAATAGGAAGCTTGTGCTTTTGAGACTTTTTTCAAAATGAAATGTCAATCAACAATTGATTTGACAATTATTCATACCTTGTTCACAAACAAGGTTCTCTCAATAAAATTTTTCACTGTAACTGTTGTTGTATGGAATTTCTGCGATTTGGGAAATTTTGATTTTTATAATATAGACTTATGCCATTGATACGTAATCTTTTGAAAGTTATAATGATGACCGATGAATGTCCCCTCGCCAGCTGTTTGTTTTTCCAATTTCAAAACAAATATCATAAAAGAAATGTAAATGAATTTAAAAAAATATCCTTCGGCCGAAGCCACGAGTCTATTGGGGTCAGGTTTGTTCTCTTTGGGGACGGATAAATAGGTGTAGCGCAGTCTGGAGAGCAGAGCTTGGAGGGAAATTTGGAGGGTGTAGACAGTTTGGAGGGAAGTTTGCAGTTATACTGTTCATGTAAGTATTTATGTAAGGAGGAGCTGCATCCTGATCATATTAGGGCGAGTGTGTGTCAAGTCAAGTGTGTGAGGGTTTGTTTTGTTTTTAAAACTTAGGGGATCTTGAGGGGCGAACTTTGGGCCGTGGGTCTTTGTCTACGGTATGACTTTTCTTCACTACTGTTTTAAAATTGCAGTTTAAGAACGCTCTTTGGGTGGTTAAAATCGTTGAGAGTTACACTCGTTTGCTTCTAGTAAAATATGTGCCAGTTCTTTTTTTATAAGAGTTTAAGATGTTCATGTGTTGCTCGTGGGGCGGTCCAGGTTGAGTATGAATAAAATGCAGTGGGCTCATTGGTGGTCAATGGGGATCATCTTTGTACACTCAGTCACTATCCGCAGAGCTGCATTGTGCACTATTTGCTTTTTACTGGTGGATGTATTTTTTCGCAGTGTGAGACAAAGCTGGACAGATTAAAGCTTAATAAGTAATATTCGAAGTATTTTCCGACTGACCTGTTTGAACCAGACAGCGCTTTAGGACCGATGTCCTTCGAATGGCTTTACTTGCTGTGCGTTTGCATTGTTCCGCAAAATTCAGGGAAGCGTAAAAAACCCAACAATTTTGGGGTGCTCTACCTTGTAACCTTGAAGTCGCAGGTTAACTTTTTTATGTGACTTTTTAAAAAGACTTGAATGACTTTGTTAGAGGAAACTTCGAGCTATCTACTAGCGAGAGGACAGAACCTTGAATGAATGACGCATGTACGTACGATCCTGGACGAAGACCAGACGACCTCAAATAGCATTTTGACTGGCCTGCCGCTCAGATAATTTGGAAGCCATTTAGTTAAACTATCTGGTTCGCTATCAATAAGGTGTACTGTGCAAAGACCGTCTAGGTACCGTGCGTTTGATGGTTTAGCTGTTTTGATTGCCTGTTGTTTTGCAGGGAGAAAAGTTAGTGGATCGCGAAGCGTTAGTTTCAGTGTTTTTTTAAAGTTTTCTGTTTATTTTTTAGGCAGAGAACTCTCAATACACGAGACTCCAAACCCACAAGGTTTGGAGTCTCGTGTATTGAGTGTTGAAATCGTTTGCTATTTGCTTAGCATCTGATATTTTTGCCATTAAGAGATTGGATGAGATCCTGCAGCGGATTTGGTTCCATTTAAGGAGCGAGTCGCTTTCCAGAACTCACATGGCGACGTGTTGTGGCTAAACGTCCGGAGCAAGTTCTACCATTTCTTCTTTCTTTTGCCGTTTTTTTTCATCAAATCTTGATTTGAGCTATTTAAAATAATGTTTGAGAGGTTCACTAGTCTGATTTTATCGCACTCTTGTCCTAGGTTTTTTTTAAGTTTCGGCTGTTAAGGCAGGTGTATACAAACGGTGGTGTCCTGCCTGAATATAGCGCCGGGCCGCCTTAAGAATCGTGCTTGAAAGTTTTTTGGCGGCCGAGGGTAAAATTTTTCATAGAAACAATTTTTGAGGTTTTTTTTTCTGTTTTTCTCAGTTAACTCCTAGCTGGCTTTGGTTAAAATAATTGAAGGTTTTTTTGGCAGTGAAAGGAATATCCTCCAATAGAGGGAGACTTATTAAAATAGGTAGGTGGTCTGATTTTAAAGTTAAAAAAGGTTTCCAACTTAGTAAAAAGAACGATGATGCTATGGATAAGTATGGGAACGAGGGATGCTCTTCCGTTTGTAAATCCTCTACTGTTTTTTCAGTGTTTCATAAAATGAAACCAATTTAGAATACATATTTGCGCCTAGCTAAGTCCATTTGTGCTCTTGAGAAAGGAGCAATGTAAGAGGAGCTGTTAGATAGAATTAAGAGAAGAGCAATTGTTCAAACGGCAGCAGTTAACTGTACTAGTGTGGCCTGTGTTGTGGTAGTTTGAATGTGAATGTTGTTTGTTTTGTGTAGGGAGAGAAGTGTGACGTGGTCCAGTTCTCCTACCCGGTGTCTGTGTCATGTGTGACCATTGTGTCCCCCCACACCACAGTGCAAGTGGGCAACAAGAACATGCTCGTGGGGTGAGTAGTACATTGTGCTGATATCAATCATTAAGCACAAGAACAAAACACTACAATGTGCACAGCAGTGGGTGGCCATGTTTTAACACACGGCTCTTAAAAACTGCTTAAAACACCGTTTTAAATAATTGTTCTTTTTCAATGTGTTTATTGATGCTTTAATCAATTTTTCTCCTCATTCTGCTTTATGTACACCTCGTCTGACTCTTACTTTAGGTTGACAACTTGCCTGGAACACTTAAAACAACAGGTGTTATGAAAAACGATTTGGCTGACCTTTCCGAGGTTTTTCTTTGACATTCGTTGACACCGATAGCGACAACCAATATATCAAAACTTGCCTTCTATTTGAGAGCATTGGACGAGTCAAAATTTTGATTTTATATATGCTTTGAAACAGTTTTATGCGTTTAAAACGTTTTTTTAATGATTTTTTTAAAAGTTAAATTATAGTATTTTGGAGGCCACCATGAATGTACATTACACCACTACAAAGAACCAGACTCCCTCGACAGTCAATATCCGTTCTTTGACTCCTTTTGACCTTGATAGATATGAGCATGGTGGAAAAATAAGCCACAGCTTAGCTAGCACGTGATGGGGAGGAGAGGCACGGAGAAAGGTTACAATGTTGCGGATTCCGCCGAAAATCTGATCTGGGTGATATGTTACAATAAGTGGTAATTAAGAGTAATGAACGAAGTGAAGACTCCTATATAGGTCTTGCTGATTTTTTTTTGTTTTTCAGGAAAAAGATTTAATTGTTTCCTAACAAAAGTAATTGTGCTCGGGGTTGTTTTTTTCTTCAGACAAATTTCGGATTTTTAACTAGCCATTTTTAACGGGATTTTTCATAGCATTCAAAATTCAAAGTATTGTTGACCTGAGCTAAAATTTGGTTAGATATTTCACCTGTGATCATTTTTCGTATAGTTATGGGGGTTTGAAAATTGCCATTTTGGCTAATTTGGTTCAATTAATGCGCGATAGATTTTGCGCTATTAACGCTTAAGCGGAGACTTAATCCGTCTTAGAGATCGTTCCAAGTTGGTTGAAGGAAGCTTATTTCCCATATTTGTTACTAGGAGCGAAGTTTATCAATTTGTACTTAATATGGCGTGTAGGGGATGATTTTCACGAAAAATCTCAAATTCAAAAAAAATCATTTATTTCTGTTACATTTAATTTTTTTTCATGTTATTACTGCTCCATAGACTTAGACTCCTCTATAAAATGAGGCATGTGAGTTGGAAAATGTGTTTTTTTTTTCAAATTGACTGGTACTGCTAATGCGTCATAATTGGCGTGCGTCACAAGAAATTTTGTACACTCAGATTTTTTACTCATTCAGTTTTTGACAGAAGAGTTATCGTCCAAATTTTGCTTGTGTATGCGAATTGCACCTTCGCCTCGGTGTCAAATTTAACCTGCCACCTATTGTAATATATCGCCCAAATCTGATTTTTGCCTGCTGTGGAATCACGCTTACAATTCTTGAAATGCAGTTTTGCCTCGTAATGGTTCACTCATCTATTGTTTGTTTACAAAGTCTAAGATTGTAGTGGCCCACTTCTGCTAAACGATCAGATTGTTTCAGAACGAAAGTTTTTTTTCAAATTGTATTTAATTCGTTTTTAAAGATGCTCAACTTTTACCGGCTTCTCCTTTTTATTAGTGTTGGTACAACGAGTTTTTATGAGTGTTGGTACAACGAAGCTACATTGCTAAACAGGTATATTGGCCTCTTTTCTGTTTATATCGCACTCGATATTACTCTAGTTATGTGATAATTGAATCAGGCATAATCAATTCCTCATAGCAGAAAGACAGTAAACCAAATTAGCCAATTAGAAGTCGAACTTCAAATATTGCAGTATGTGACAATAATTGAGTTTTTAATTGCAACTTCAAAGCTCCTTTAGTCATTTTTGCTTGTCAATTTTTACAAAAATTTCATAAAACATCATCTGCAACAGAAATCACATCGAAGAATTTGAAGCTTTAAACTGGTCAGATGGAATCAGATGCACTAGTTCAATTTGAAGTTGTGAGGCATCTGATTGCAGTGGTGGGGAAAAAGATAGCCAATTAGATTTATAAGCTAACACCAATCAACAAAGAAAGAACACTCAGATAATTCTTCGCCGCAGACAGACTGCCCTGACAAACGAAAACGCTTTTTGCTAAAAAGGAAGCGACAGAGCGTCTGTATTTTTGAAACAAAAAAGCTGCAATCAATTTGATTGAAAATTGGGGATAATTTTAGCGAAATTTCGTATCTGTGAACCAAAAGAGAGCTAACATAAAAAAATTGTTCCATAATTACTGCTTTGAGTAACTTTATCTTCATAATTCCAAACAGATATTTTATTCAAAAGGGCTTTTTTTAAGTTAAATGTATAATAAATATAACAAAAGTTATAAAACAAAAACTATCTTATCAAAGCAGATCCTTGAATGTTCCCACAGCAAAACCCTGAAAGTTAATGTCGGCAAAAAGTTAATAAGGATTTTCAAAGTTTTTTAAGAGTAATAAACATAGTGAAGACTCTTATAAAGATCTTGCTTATTTTTTTGTTTTCTTTTCTTTTTTCAGGAGAAAGTCTTAAAATATTGATGACTTAGATATAATGCTTTTTTTGTTCATTTGAAACTCATCTGCTGAAAGTGACGTAAACAGCACTCTCCAAATACGAATGTGGAATTGCCGCTAAAAAAACATTGTTTCGAAAGTGGATTTTTTTATAAGATTTCCCAGCGGAATAAAAACTTTATCTATTGATCCAGATTAGGTTGGGTTCACGTTATCAAAAATGCGCCAATCATAAATTGTTCTAGAAGTTCAAAGAGCTTAAAGAGCATCTATTTTTTCTGTTAATATTGAAAGTTGACATTTTCTCAACAGAGTGTTTTTTGTTTAGTTGCGTTCATTACTCTTTTCCAATCTGCGATTGGCTAAGTTCTATTTTTACTATTAAATCTTCGCCACGCGTTATATCACGTACAAATTTATGAGTTATATGTTTCTAATCTAGTAACGAGATATTTGGAACCATCAAATTGCCTCTGTTTATGTTTACACAAGCAAAGGTTTTGTATTATTATGAAGAATTTTTTCTAACCGAAGTCGCAAATAAAAGTGCTCATTTGGTGGAACTTTTGGTATATTTCTATTTAATCATATTTAAGCCTTTTTAGCACAAGCAGTTTTTCAGCATATGTAGTTACTTTATTTGTCGCTTGCTTATAGTCCTGTTTGAAAAAACAGGCTTTATAAAAATGCATGGGATTTGTTGATAGTTGTTTTTTTTTTTGCGACGCCTTGGTAAAATCAAGGACTTTTTGCAGAGCTTTCAGTTTTTATCAAAAACTACTATGCTGTTTTTCAAAAAATGGTACCAATTAACAAGCCGGCTGCTCTTTGATGTGCCTGCATTTCTCCTTAGTCTCTTTTTATTTTACCTCACGGCCTAAAAGTTTACAGTAGGGGGATTTTTGACCTATTTGTATTACTTTTTTTTTCATTTTTTCAAATATTAAATGCACAAATTTGAGATGCAGGTTTCAATGAAAACAAAAACGAATCATGGGGTTCTCACCTCCAGTTTTCAAGCGGCTCTCCCCTAAATTTGCTAGAAAAAAGCTGTGGCCTCAAACTAGCCCAAGTTTGTCATTTCTGGTTAATTTTTAAAACTTTCCTCAAAAACTACCCTTCCAAATTGGACCTTGAGGGTTTAACCGAAAGAAAAAACCAGTTACCGGAATCTTCACTGCGGAAGCGCCTATGCACTGCTTTTGTAAAAAAAAGTATGGTCTTGGAAAATGTCAAATTTTTGAAACTTTGTCCGTTTTTTGGAATTTTCTTTTTGTCTTCAAAAGCTAACCTGCAGATTTTTTGTTTAGAAAATTCATCACTATTCTCGATAAATCTGCTATTAAGTATTCAATTTCTAAAACAGGACTTGAAATCATCCCTGCATAAGAAGCTCTTCATGCTTAATTAGAGAATAGTTTACACACTTTGAAAGTCAAATTTTTGATTTTTGGATCGTTTTCGAATCTTTTCACTTTTTTCGGAAACTACTAATCGAAATCTGAGATAAAGAATTCAATGAAAAATGCAAGTAGAATTTTTTTAATTGAGCATTTAATCTCCTAATTAAGCAGAGAAATAACTAGGGCTTTTCGCATTTACGCCTTTTCGTATCAGTGCATTATATGGTTAAAAATATTAAAACAGGTACATCCAGCATTAGCTGGGCCACTAGTTTAGTTCCAAGGTATCGTTGCACAAATGCGAGGACGTGAGTGACACTCCCAATCATCAGGTCGGTGATTCAAATCACGAATATTGAAATAGTTTGATTTTTGCTCGAATTTTTGCTGCTTTATTGGTGGCTAGTGTTTGTAAAATTACGAGCAGCCATGGACCAGATATGAGAACTTGATGCTGCTTATCTCAAAATTTTCATTCAAAATTTTTCGAGTTGTTTTTTGAATCTAATCTTTTCTTCCTTATTTTACTTTTTTGTGCCTGTTTAGAGCTCTTGTTTGCGTTTTCCTCGCTTGTGTTTGCGAAGCGCAGCGTCGCCTCTGTATGGAACCATTTAAATCGCCGCGCACGTTGCGCATTAATAGAAATTTGGTATGAAGTGATAATCAAAGTTGACTTTCATGAAACCCCCATAAGTTTATTTTTAAATGGTTGCAGATTAACTGTCTTTTTAATTTTGAACTAAGGACATCAATACTTTTCAGATGATATAAAATTTGTCCCTCTAAAACTTAAAAAAAATATCGAAATTAATGTGAATAAATTTTTATTACCAATTCACTGCGAAGCTCACAGAAGCGTCCATGAGTAAATTGTAATCTACGAAGTGATATAGCGGCTTAACATCCTGATTTTGAGCCAAAAAATTTCGTCTTAATGTGTGAGGTGGGACTTCATTTTTTCGGCTGTATGTGTCTGATAAAAATGTTTCGGCTCTGAAACCCCTTCGTAACGTTTTCGATGTCAATTTGAAATTTTGGTAGACTTGTTTTCAAAAGTTTGTTTTTTCAACAGCGGCCTTCGTCTCAGTTTCTGTCGGCTAGTTTGTCATGCTATGTTTTTGTTGTATTGTAAGCGGCACGAAGTCCACTTGGCCTCTGTGTTTTATCACACTTTATCCAATTTTAGTCAATTTTTGAACCAGCAGCGTAACTTTCTTGCCAACGCTTTTTTTCAGTGCTAATATGGTCGAAAAATTCTGTGCTATTTGCTTTAGTATCGATTAACCTTGTTTTTATTTGTTTTGGTGGAAAATCGGAGAGCTTATCAGCCTGTTTAGCTCCCTTGTTTTCATGTTGCTGGTTTGACTTTGCAATCAAGTGTTCTAAGTAATATAGCAAGGAATTGTGAAATTTTTGTTATGGACTATTAAACTGAAATTGGATGTTAGATGAGATTTGATTTGTTATAACCTGCCAAGTACTTTGCTCTACGCAGTCGTTGAAGTGAATGCGGGTGGGCGAGGAATGAGATGCATGCAGTTTAGTGGTCAGTGTGCTGATGAGACCCCCTCACTTCTCATAGTCGCCAGCCCCCAGCCAAGATATCATGCACGTATTGCGCCAATAAAGCTGCCTGTCTGTCTGTTGTTGTTTAGAGCATCGAAGCCGAACAAATTCAAGCTGGAAACATTCATCAACAACCTCACATGCTCTGCGGCCGCCAAAACCACAGCCTCCTTCTCCAACTTCTACGAGGTAGTATCAACCTTCATTACCCATTACCCTCCCCTGCAGATAAAACTACTTACTCATGATGCTTTACTTAGTTAAATTGGGTTCAAATAATGTAATTATCTAGAGTACAATCCAATGGACATTCAGGGGCTCTTTATGTCTTTGTCAAATCTGATTTTCTTATTTAGATGCTATCCCAGTTTTTTTTTCCAATGGCATGAGATAATAAACCAATTTTTGACCAGAATTCCTGAATACAGGTAATTGAGTGATTAAAATGTGAAGTTTTCAGTAAACCGAAGTATCAGTAATTTAACGATCAGTAAATCGAATTACCGAATATATTTTCAGGGTCTTTTAAACTGCAGTGATGAATTTAAAATTACCAGTTGCTTGAAAAAGAAGTTTTATTTCATTTTTATTTCAAATTTAAGAAGTGTCTTGTAATTGTCAACTCGATTTTTTTTCCCGTAAACAACTTTTCCTACAATCTTTTAACTTGCTTTATTATTGAATCTACAACTTCCAGGTTGCTTCGCACTTAGAGGTAACGCCGTCGCCTTTGCACCATAAGCTCCGGAGTTGAATCCCGGCCGGACCTTGTATTTCCAGAATTTATGTTTTACCTTTTTTAAACTCAATTTTTTTTCGGCTCAATTACTGTCTGCTCAAATATTGTCGGCATTGTTTCCGCTTCGTCAGTTTTGTTCCGCTGCTAATGTAAAAATCAAATGTCTTGCTTGGCATTATTGCCTAGAATTCTTGTTTGATAAAAAAATATGTTATATGAAAATGGATGTGATCGGGTTTTCCATTTAATGTTTTCGAGACGCTTTGGAATTTTTAAAAATTTTGATAAAATTTTAGCGTTTCTCAAAAACAAGGGTTATCAACGGAACGACCGCTTACTCCTCTGTCTGACTGATTACTCCCCTAGTCCCTTTTAACTCTACCCCTCTGTTACAGCCTTCGAAAATGTCTGTGTTGGGAATATTGACCCATATTTTTGATATATTTTTTAATTTTCTCTAATCTGAGATTTTGGTTTCAACGATTAGGACGAATTTGAAATAGGACGGATAAGCGGCTACTCCCAATTTTTGTCATATATAAAGTTATGGACCTCGAAGTAGCCAAATTTTTGATTTTTCGAACGTTATTGAATATTTTTTGTTTTCTCGTGAAAATTAATGTCCCAAGGTTGATATTTTGAGTACAATCCAATGGACATTCAGGGGCTCTTTATGTCTTTGTCAAATCTGATTTTCTTATTTAGATGCTATACCAGTTTTTTTTCCAATGGCATGAGATAATTAATCAATTTTTGACCAGAATTCCTGAATACAGGTAATTGAGTGATTAAAACGTGAAGTTTTCAGTAAACCGAAGTATCAGCAATTTAACAGATCAGTAAATCGAAGTAACGAATATAATTTCAGGGTCTTTTAAACTGCAGTGATGAATTTAAAATTACGAGTTGCTTGAAAAAGAAGTTTTATTTCATTTTTATTTCAAATTTAAGAAGTGTCTTGTAATTGTCAACTAGATTTTTTTTCCCGTAAACAACTTTTCCTACAATCTTTTAACTTGCTTTATTATTGAATCTACAACTTCCAGGTTGCTTCGCACTTAGAGGTAACGCCGTCGCCTTTGCACCATAAGCTCCGGAGTTGAATCCCGGCCGGACCTTGTATTTCCAGAATGTATGTTTTACATTTTTTAAACTCAATTTTTTTTCGGCTCAATTACTGTCTGCTCAAATATTGTCGGCATTGTTTCCGCTTCGTCAGTTTTGTTCCGCTGCTAATGTAAAAATCAAATGTCTTGCTTGGCATTATTGCCTAGAATTCTTGTTTGATAAAAAATATGTTATATGAAAATGGATGTGATCGGGTTTTCCATTTAATGTTTTCGAGACGCTTTGGAATTTTTAAAAATTTTGATAAAATTTTATCGTTTCTCAAAAACAAGGGTTATCAACGGAACGACCGCTTACTCCTCTGTCTGACTGGTTACTCCCCTTGTCCCTTTTAACTCTACCCCTCTGTTACAGCCTTCGAAAATGTCTGTGTTGGGAATATTGACCCATATTTTTGATATATTTTTTAATTTTCTCTAATCTGAGATTTTGGTTTCAACGATTAGGACGAATTTGAAATAGGACGGATAAGCGGCTACTCCCAATTTTTGTCATATATAAAGTTATGGACCTCGAAGTAGCCAAATTTTTGATTTTTCGAACGTTATTTGAATATTTTTTGTTTTCTCGTGAAAATTAACGTCTCAAGGTTGATATTTTGGGTTCAATTTGATAACGGATATTGGTAAGCTTTTAGCAAGACATGAACATTTTGGTCCATTTAGTTTTTTTCAGCTTGTTTCATTTTTTTTTTGATTTCGGTGTACTTATCTGGGTCTTCAGCTCATATGATTATGTAACTGAATAATGCAATGATTCTGGAATTTCGGTCAAGTGATCTGATCTTCCCTTTTTAGGTTTACTGATACATCGATATCCTGAATTTCCACCTATTTACACCTGCGCAGCGTAATGTCATTTTACGGTATTATCTTTTGTTTTCATTCTAAGTCGCAAATGAAAGTGCTGATTTGTTTGGTGGCCATTTTGCAGCTTTACATCTGTTTTTTTTTGCTGCGTAGGATTATATTTTAGGAAAATTTTAGTTTTTCTCAATAGTACTACTCCACCGGTTTTTTTTAAAGTGGAAACAATGGAAATAACGTCTACTACCCTGTGTGCATGCGTATTCCGCTAGTCTCTTTTAGTTTAACTTGATGTTCAATGGACTTGGAAAATCTCCCTGCAAAAGCGTGTTTTAATAGGAATCAGCTGTGGTCTTGGTAAATGTCCATTTTTGAAAATTTAGCATTGCCTTGCGCATCAGTACATCTTAAAAAAGTTAAATAACTGGTATTTCGAGCTTTGGCTGGACCCACCGTGCTTAACTAATTTGAATCGGTCATGGCTCAGATGCGAGGACGTGTGACTTTAATCTCTAGGTCGGGCTTTCGATTCCTACTAATAATAGTTTTATTATTTTTACATTTGCGACCCCTTTTAGAGCAACTTTTTGCCCTTTATTCGCTTGTGTTTGCAAAGTGCAGCTTTGCTTCTTTTTTATGCTTGCAATTGATTAAGAAAACTGAGACAAAATTTATTTTAAAAAGTGGGAAACTGAAAGACAGGCAAAAAGATCATGATAAATTGCATTTTTTGATTTACGTCTATTTTTATTACACTGCCTTCCTTACGTATAGAGGCATCCTAAAAGTGAAACCAGAAAATCCGTGTCATTTGGGAAAGTGTCTTGAAGCTGCCCTCATCGAGGGACGGCATAGTAAATGCTGTGTTTGTGGGAATAGAGGCCAGCACAGCCTACTTAGTATAACCGGCAGTACTATCTTGCACATCCCATCCCTACACAAAGCTACTGCTGTTGCATCCACAATTCAAACACGCAATCAGTAAGTATGGCCGAGTGCTGACCCGCGTAGAAACAGACCCCTCTCGGATTCGTATGCTCTCCCCTGGTGCATTGCCCCAAGGTTCACCCATGGTCTTTATCAATTAATGCAGCACATCTCTGCAAATAGTGTTTGCCTGTTGTAGTGGAATTCCACAGCCATCTTGGGAAAGCACTCGACCTCGCCTTCTAGCGTGAAAGTTGCTGCAGTGCAAGAAATCACGCACTGATGTAGCAGTGAAAGCATGTACATCAGAAACTACTATGTAAATTGCAATAACCGTGAGCGAGAACGAGAGAAGAACTTCATTTGCTCCTGTGGATTTTGAAGTTATGAAGCTAATTAGCAAGTTTTAAGATGGATGCCAAAGGCAGTTTTACATTTTACTGGCCTCGTCCAGCTGACATTTTGATTGTAAGTGATCAACTGCCTCGTGTTGCCCCCAGTTTGTATCGCTGCTGACATATGTCAGTGGGTGCGTGTTGAGCATTATTGCTTCCGTCTTGGCTGCCAGAGTACTGAACAGGTGGCTAGACGGGCGATCGGAACCAACGATGAATAGTAAGAATGCTCGTTTTATTATCGAAACCAGCCGCTCCCACACGCCACCAAATGGGCAGCGGGAGGATGATTGAAGCGCCACTGGAAGTTGATACAATTTTTACCTGTTCACTTGGAACGGTTGCATTGAAGTTAGTTGGTTCCGATCCGAACGTAACTGTTTACAGGGTCCGATAAACAAAGCTAAGGCGAAAGCATTGCTGTGGAAACATTAGTTTGTCCGTAGGTTGTAGCATAACCCATTGCTTCCCATTGTTTCCTCACCTATACTCATAACTGAACAAATGTGATGGAGCAGCGCCTCAATGTCCCCATGTGATAGCCAGTGTTGGTGCGAATTTGACCATAACTTCGCCTCTGAACCTTAAATGCGACTGTCTATGGGCTGTTCCTCTGATGGGCTAAAAGGAAAAATTCACACGAAGGAAAAAGGAAAAAAATCAAACGCCACGAAAAAGTATCCCGTTTGACGGCTTGATGTTACTCCGAAAGGGCAGCGACCAGAATCAGCAGCATCGTCAGTTTCTGGAATGGGGGGGGGGGCTCACTAAGAGGCAACTCGGATGCTGGCCGTAGTGGGTTGAAATGGAAATCAATGTTCACCGGAAGTACTCTAAATAAATGCCGATCAAGAAAACAAATTTTTAAAGAATCACTGAACTAAAGAATCAGCGCATTGAACAAAACTACGTGGAAAAACTACTGCTCCGCGACAGGCGTGTCAGTAAAAACAAGCGCTTTTTACTTGACAATGAAATTTTGTTGTCTGATTTTCAGGGAACCTATTTTGTGTCGTCTAGCTGCTCCATAGCCCTATACCTTGAGGGGAGATAATATTTTGAGTGGTATGTGATGTGATTTTGAGTTGAATAGAAGAGAAGGTACGATAACTGATTGTCAAATCTACCTGTGAAATGGCTAGAAATAGTTGTTGCAAGGAGTTAAAGGGTTAAAAAAGGTGAAAACCAAAATCATTCCAACTCATTCAGGAAGCCTAATTGATTACACGAGGAGAGTTATCTGTGAATTCGATTCTTAAAAATACTTTTTTCTTAAACACCTTTTAAAAACGGGTAGTTTTTTTACTTAATTTGTCTCCAATTTATTTGCTGATTCCAAATTTTCCATGCAAAACTTAGGGTTAGGATAAATATTTGGTTGGAAATCTTTTTATGCAGAAATAGTCCCGGAAGAAATTATGCAATTTTTCTCTAAAAAAGTGCGCATTTTCAAAACATGCATCTCGGAAAAGTGTTCATAATGTCTGAAAATTTGAAAAAAAATTAGAAGATGATTTTTTATCGCAAAAGAAGCTCTTTTGCTGACAAGTGACGAATGACAACGACGGAGAATTACACAAGCTATTTGACGAAAGATTTCTTGCACCACCAGAATGCTAGGAAGAACAAAAGAGTCTAAACCGTATCAAACCGCTAGGTTTTAGTTTTATATTAGCTTGGGCGCTTAAGACCTATACGATTCCATTGCCTTTCTAAATAATTTTTATTAATTTATATTTTTTCTTGAATTTAATGTTAATCTTTTAAAAGCGCTTTCGTCTCCATCTCTCACAAAATATTAGATTCTCAAATGCTTCGATAGTGAGTTTATGTCCGGGGTGGCTCACGCATAGGGTAATTTCAGAAAAGATACACCGTCTGTTCGTCACGCTGTCTTATTTTCGGCTGGATAGATTCGTGCTACTTCTTAGTCTGGTACCAGTCTTAATCTTACTCTTTTTTTTCCTAGTCTTGCGAGGTTAGAGGAGAGGAAGAGCAACTGCTTTCGAAGTTAAATTTATTGTTTTCTGGCTGAAACTAAATAGTTTCAGCCTTACAAATTATTGTAAGTTTTAGTCGGGTAAGTTATTGTATTGTAAGTTTTTTTTGGATATAAAAAATACTTGTTCTGAAGTGGCTCAAATAGATATGTGTGAAAGGATTACAGAAAGGCTTCCATAAAAATATTTAGAATCAAATTTTTAGAATTGTATTGAATGAATTCAAATGAGTCCACCAATAACAGTCATAGGATCGCTCAATTTCTTTTTTGCCTCATTGACCTGAACTAACCACTAACAAGTTACTGCAAAGTCAGGAAAATCATTGATAATACTTTGTTTTCATGTCGAAAACGGAACTCTGCAATCTTTATATTCCGAAATCAAGCGAAACTTTTGAAGATAACAATACTTTCGTATTGAAAATGCAACGATTGAAAAGAAAGGAAACGTCAAATATCTCGTAGCTATAATTGATCAAAGTCGAACCTAGTTGCAAGATCAAAGTCGAACCTAATATTCGTATTGAAAATGCAACGATTGAAAAGAAAGGAAACGTCAAATATCTCGTAGCTATAATTGATCAAAGTCGAACCTAGTTGCAAGAGGTAAAATGAATCCTAGAAAAATGACAGGTGCTATCAAAACTGCGCAATCAACGAGAAAACCAAACCATTTAAATAAGAATCGTTCCAATGAATGCAATTGTATGAGCAGTTTACTTGATCGAGCCGTTTCAGTCAATGTAATATCAAAAACTCTAAAAATAAAGCTTGAGAAACAATTAATTTTGACTGTTAAACTTGTTCGAATGGTCTTGATTGTGATTTTTTTTTGAGACATGAAATCAAAATATTAAGTGTTTTCGATAAAATTATCCCTTAACTGGAAATTTGCTTGCCCTTTCCGTTTTGGCACTCTTTGGAAAGTGTTGGCCAAAAAATCGACTTCAGAAAAATTAAAGAGTTGGTCGGCCGAAAATGATGTCATGAAATAATAACAAATAACAACATACAAAAATATGATTATTAAAACAAGCTAACAGATAATACAGTTGCGTATAACTCGAATGGTTTTCTATAAATTCTACCTTAAAAAGTAAACTTTAAGAGCCCATAGAAAGATATCCTGGAATAAATTTTTTTTTCGACGCCCCTTTTTGCTTATTTGCTTCCTATTAAGTTATCTTAGCTTAATTTTGTTTTCTTGATGTACACTTCATTTTAAATTTTTTTAAAATGAAAATAGATTATTTTTTACTAGTAGCAGAGAGTAGAAGAGGCTGTCGTGACTGCCTTTGATAGCTGTATGAGCATGTGCATATGGATGAGTATGTGATGGTGTGCTTGTTGTTAGGTAATGTATGACGAGAGTGTGGGGGGAGGCAGCTCCTCCTCCTCGTCTGTCGGGGTCAGTGGGGGAACTAAAACACTGACTGATGTGATGGTGATCAAGGGAAAGTACACTGTGTGCTCCATCTGCATATATGGCACCATACAACAATACACAATGCCTGCTCCTTCTCTTGAGGCCACCGCCACTGCAGATAGCCGAGGTCAGATTAGATCAGCTGAAAGTATTCTAAGCCCCTCTGCTATTCTGTACCACTATTATACAATCTTCTCAGCCGGGAGTTAGTTGCCTCCCCTTTTCTTTTGGGTCTGTTTGGGTAAAAATTTACGGTACTCATTTCTGGCCGATCGGCAGTAACGATTTTGTAAGGGCACCTGCTACGCCAACTAAGTAGTTTTGAGAAAGAGAACAGATGTTTGTTCGAAGCGCTCAGTTGTGGGAGAGGCCGCAATTTCATTTTGGTGGAGCTAAAAAAGGTTAGATTTTAGACCACCCCTGATACAATACAATCTATGCCCTTCATTGAAGGGATGGTTGATTTTATAACAGTTTTATAGCCTGCGCAAGACTTGATTTTAGACTAACGAGGACATGCTTCACGTTTGATTGCCGTCTAGACTTTATTACCAAAAAAGCAGTGGTGGCTTCCGCTACGCATATATTAGTCAGTAATTTCAGACTGCTGTCTACTCAACCAGAAAATCATCTAATTAAAGCAGAATGTTTCCGCCTTAATCAAGTCACCTGCATCAAGGTGATAAAAACGAATGAGTTTTTCACAGCGGGCAAATCTAATCTGCATCCAGAAAACTCTGATAAATATTAGATAGGCAGCTATTGCAGAGTCACTGACCCTATTATAGACTCTCATGCAGGGGCGGATTTAGGGGGGGGGATCCGCCCCCCCCCCCCCCCCCTCAGGGATTCGACCCCCTGCCGACCCAAAGGGTCCCCCCTTTGATACTTTTTCAGAAATCCATTTTTGGCCGACCGACCCTAAAATTTTTCTAAAGGCGCCTTTGACGCCAATACAGACCAACTTTGAGGGGGAGCGCGCACCAAAAAAACGCGATTTTTTTGTCAAAGTTTTTCAAAAAGTGCCCAAAAACGGGTTTTTTGACTGTTTTTTCAAAAATTTGCCTGCGGTGCAAAAAAATTTGCCAACATAGGGGCAAGACAGTGCTTTGGGAGAGCTTGAAAAGTCAATTTGATCGACCTAAAAAAAAGGTCGTCAAAATTTTGGAAAATTTTTTAAAAATCCGCCCCCCCCTCGAGAAAATCCTAGATCCGCCCCTGCTCTCATGTCTCGGTGTTTTTTTTTGTTTTTTTTTACTGGAAAAAGTCTTAAAATGCTGAAGAAATTAAGATGTTCACTTCTTCAATTCAAGTTTATTTGATAAGAGGCTTTCAAATTGCGCTCTCCAAATACCAACGTGGAAGTGGCACAAAAAAGGTGAACGACTTCTAGTTTCAAAAGTGCATATTAATTTTCAGAGGAATTTAAATTTAATTTTGGTCCAGTGTTCGTAAATTGAATTACTTTCAACAAAAAGTGTCAAGCATAAATTGTTCTTGAAATTCAAAGAGCTTCAAGGCCATATATTCTGTACTTTGAAGATGAAGTTGAAGTTGTTTTCTGTTTCATTGCGTTCATTGACTCTTTTCCAACTTTCTGTTGGCTATGTTTTGCAAATTCTTTTAGTGGTTTTTGTCAAATGGAAAAGTTGAAAGTTTTTGATCAAATATATATTTTTCTATGTTCAAAATTTCGGCTTTTAAATGTTTTTCATGCCAACGTTATTGTTGTGCGTTTATCGAAATTTTTAAAATTCTCTTTCGAGACAATTGTATGAAATTTTGTCCATTTTTCATCTTTTAACAGCCACAACAACTTCCATCTCATTTTCTGGGCGATAGCTCATAGTGATTTGTATTTGTGGCATCACAAGTGGCTCGATGTTTTGTTTTGCATGTGAGATTTTTTATCTGGCAATAAACGTTTCCAAAGGAACTCAACAAACTCGCTGTGTCCTAAACTTTTGCTGTTTTGCTGCGTGAAAGTATTAGGTCATTCCGCCCCGGTGGTCTGAAGCTAATGTGTACCGTGTTTGCTTTTGAAGCGACGGATTCTGAATTACATCCACTGCGATGTTCATTTTCGTTGTTCAACCTCAGAGCTCTTTTTTTTATTGTTTCCGAAATACTGGCTGGCCTCTGTGGTTTTAATCTGTCGGTATTATTCATATGAATGGTGGACCTGTGGTTTGCATTTCAGACCAAGTGCCCAATCTGAGCGATGTTTCGCAGATTGCAGCGGTGCCCACTCACGACAAGCAGCAGCAGCAGCAGCATGCATCACCCACCGCTCCAATCAAAATGCCTCATTCCCTCATCACAGCTGGAGCTGCTGCTCCTCATTCTCGTCCTCATCCAGGTGATCTCGCCACCCCAGAGCAATTCCTCACTGCCCACATCATGTCACCGTCAGTCCCTTCTGTGCCAGGTGGAAACAGCAGCAGCTCTAGTAGTCTGCAGCCACCAGACGTGAGGAGTGAGCTCCCAGGGGCCATTCCGTTCGAGCAGACCAGAAGGCACTCCAACGAGAGTCCTCCGAATGAACCACCTGATCCGGTGGTGCTCAAATTAGAGGCCACAAGGTTAATATTCGCTTCATTTCCATTAAACTACTTTCGAATGATTTTTCAAACAGGCGAAGGACTTGAAAGACAATATTTCAAACGGATTAGATTCGAATGTCTTCTGGATGCAAATGATTTAAGTCTAGATACAACTATGCAAGTAAGGCATCTATGCGACGAATGCAAAATTAGGCCACGACTGAGTGCACCTGAGAAGTTGCTTCGCGTTTTTTTTAGCCCCCGGTCCTGTTCAATGCAGGACCGACCGTGGGGGAGGGTGATGTCTTCTATTGCGCCGCAGCCGGTCCCACCGTGACCGAAGTGTGATTCGAAGGCATGACCCTCGTGTTGAGTGACGTATGCGTAACCCACTCGGCCACGGCTACTCGATTGACTTGCATTCCCTCGCCATGTTTTTTTTGTTCCAGGTCCAGCAACCCCGACAGGAGAGGAGGCGGCGGCGGCGGCGACACAGAAAGCAAAAAGTGGCTGGATGCGGCCAATTTGTTTCTGCAGCAGACGGCAGGAGCAGCCATGACGTCGTCGAAAGAAGCACAGCAGAACAAAGACCACAGTGAGCTGAAGCAAGAATCTGGTCAAAATAGGCAAGTCGTGCTGTGTTGCCCCTATTCCTTCATTACACATGCGAGCATAGTGTCTATCACGGAATCTATTTTTGCTGCAAAAGCTTTTTCAATTTAATAGCATCTGTAGCTGCTTTTTTGACGGCTTGTGTTGGAAAATTTGCCCTCGGTCGTGGCGCAGATGCCAAGACGTCACACTTCTAATCTGCAGGTTAGAGGTTCGATCCCGTCTCAGCCAAAGTTTTTCAAGCTGCCTATATTTTACACCAATTTGTCTATATCTGCGTTGTTGCCTGTAGTTATTCCTCAGTTTTTACACTCTGGTTACGACTGAACGCTGGCGTATTTCATTTGTATCGCAAGTGATGCGAAGCTTTGCTTTGCTTCTGTATGAATATTTTCGAATCAATTTTTACGCGTGCAATTAGCAAGCGTTATCAAGTCGGAAAATAGACTTTTTTCGGGTTAACAAAAAGTTATATAAAACCAGTTGAAACACTTGTCGCTATGCTGCTGACATGCTCAATTTGTCGGCTTTCTTGCCGGATGTATTAATTATTTTTTTATTATTATATTTTTCAACTTCCTTTATAATAAATCCAATTTTAATCTACCGTCCAGCGCATCTGGTTAAGAGGTAACACATAAGCTTGGGACGACAAAAGCCTGGGGTTTTAATCTGGGCCCTGACCTCTTTTTTAACTAGATGTTTTCTATTTTTTTTTCGGACTATCGTCCGGCTGTTTATTTTTGTCTGTTTTGAGCCGGTATGACGAACTCTTCTTTTTCTAGATGCAGCTTTCTGCTAGCTCTCCGAATACCCCCTAGTGGAAGTACCTGAGCAACAAAACTTTTTTCTAGCATTTTTGTGAAAATATTTGCTTTGTCGTTCAATGTGCACGGAATTGTTACATATGCGGTTATTAGCGGCTTTATTTCTTCTGTCAATAAGATTCAAACATTCTTCTTCGAATGCTCAAAGCCAACTTCGAATGCTCAAGGATCTCTGTAAAAAACGTAGAAACATTAATGTTGAGAAAAGTTCCATTTTTTCTTATTTCTATTTCATTTTTCAATTTCATAGTTGAAAGTTATCTTAGCTACGTCTTGAGGGTCATGCTGTTTTAATTATGTTGTATCGCAAGTAGTGCGAAGCTCAGTTTCGCCTCTGTGTTTAATTTTGCTTCTTTCAAAATCGTTGTTCGGTTTTTTTTGAGTTTTTTTTTCCATTTGTTTCAAATTTAGTTTTGGCCAATAGTTTTGCTGTTTCTGTGGCCAAAGAGTTTTTCCAGAAACTTGCTGCTGTTAATTTTTGACCAATTGTTTTAAACTGGTTTCTGTGGAGTATTAGTGAACTTACTATAAGATTCAATTTGAGTTTAGAACCGGGGTGGCCTTCTTATAGAGTAATTTCGGATAAGGGTACACCGTCTGCTCGTTACGCTATCTTTTTCCGGCCGGATAGGTTTTTACAACTTCTTAGTCCTATACCAATCCCAATCTTACTCTTATATGTTATGTTTCCTTGTCTCAACGGATCTAGATATATACTGGTTCAGCTTTACAATTAATCGTAAGTTTTAGTATGCATCATGATTGGTTAGTTATTTTGCAGTGAGAAATGCCAAAGTATAAAATAAATACTTGTTTCAAACTGGTTTCACCCATCCTGGGTTTTGGACGTTTTTTAATTCGAATTTTTTCTCAGAGTGATGGATCTAGTGTCTTCTAAATTCTTTAAAGAGTGTAGATTGATTGCGAAGTACATGTGATGATGCTGAGGGATTTGTGAATCCTGAAAAGATCGTATTGACTTGCGGATTTGTGTCTTGTGAATGTCGATTTCGTAAGTCAGAGCGAGACTTCGTGCATTCTCGCTATTCGTTCGTAATCGATCGAGTAACGAGATAAAAGGTTGACTTCTCTGAGTGAAGCACCAAGTGATAAGGATACGTATATTTGAGTTTTGACATCGAGCTGGCCATTGTTCAGTTTCACTGGATTCCTTTGCTGCGATGTCTGCTCCATACTTTCTATCCTGTGAGGGTTGTGGCAAGCAAAACCAATAGATTTGCTTTTCCATAGACGGGATGTCGTCGAGCGTATCTCCCTTCTGCTGCTCTTGTATTATGCTCTGTGAAATCTTAACAGATTTATCTCTGTTAGTATTTCAATTTTAGTTATGATCTTATTAGTTATTTTCGCGGAAGGTTTTTAGTTAGTTCGGTTGTTTTAAAGAGTTGCTCACCCTAGAGGCACTATGAGGAAAAATTGAGTGCGATTGTGTTCTAAGCGTGGAATAGCGCGGGTAGTGAGGCCGGCCGGCTACAGAGCATGCTCAGAACATCCTTTACTGGTAGGTTAGGCCAGGTCTTTTTTTATTTATAACCTTTTCTTTTCTTTGTGTCAGGGGTTTATCAGTTGTCTTTGTGGCTGTGTCCTGTTCTTAAAAACAGTATTTTTTTTTATCAGTGTTGACTTGGGGTTTATTAAGGTTTCATGTGGTCTTAAGGTAAGGTTGATTTATGTTCCAGAAGAATATTCAACCTAGCATGATCTGGTTTGAGTATAGTGGAATTTTCCTGTTTATGTTGGTAGTGCGGTGGTGTTAAAAGCTGCGTTGGCTATTTAAGCTTAATTCCTTTTTCCAACTGGGTTAAAGGAAAGTTTGAAACGTGTGAAAGCTGTTCAAACTTGTATTCAGTTAGTTCGAGATTATAATTTTGTGTCGTATTTTAAATCTCGTGTGAGTTGAACTTGTTCGATTTGTATTTTCCAATCAAAAAACCGTATCTCTAGATTTCTTGTATTTTTGTGCTAGCTTTGCAATTTAATAGATTGTTTATTCCAATGTGAGGTATCCATTTTTTAGCGTGAGGGTCATAGACTAATCGTTCATGACCACCATGGTCAGGATGTTTGTCGTCTAGTCGTATGTGATCTTGACTATGTTCTAGTTGTTGTCGATGATTTGAGTCTGAATATGTGAAAATTTATAAGTATTCGACCTTCGTCTCCATTTTTTATTAAATTTTAATGTTCGTGTTTGCAGTCTTCAGGATTGAGATGTAAACGTTGTTCAATATTGCTTTGATAGTATGGTTCGTGATCACGTCTGTTTTTATTTGCGTTTGATAATTGTGAGTACTGTTTTTTCTTTTTTGAAAATTCATCTCTAGTTTTCCAGCCTACAAGTGTTGTTGCTAGGGCAGTTGAATATATTGTTGCAATTACTTTTGATGATTCTATTGCCTGTGGGTCTGATTCACATTGAGTTACTTGATTTATAGCACATTTATGTTGTTTTTTTTTGTTGATTTTCTACGCTATCATAGTGTGTTACTAAAATATTTGTAGTCCTGTGCGTGAAGACGGACTGTCATGAGATGTTGGCTGTAAAATTGTTAGGAGGTAAATAATGTGTGATTGTATCTGTCGTATTTGTATATTATTTCAGTGCAAATAAATGGAGGGGTTAAATTTTATAGTTTCATATCTGGTTTAAATAATGGCAATGGATGTGTAAAAATTGGTCATTTAATTTTTTATTTCGAATGTTAAGATTGATTTTTTTTGGGACAACAGTTGTAGGTTATGGTTTTGGATATCTTGCCTGTAGTGTAGGCGATGTAGTGCATAACTCTGAAATCGAGTGCTGTCCGGATGTTGTCCAATTAGTGGGGGAGGTGCTATAAAGGTAGTCCAAGCAAGTCCTAATGGCTTGTTGGTATTCTGTAACTCTTGATACCTGTTATTCAAAATTTGTAATCTTGGTAGTAAAGTAATAAATGGTGGTTTGTCTAAAATTGAAGGAGTAGAGGGTTGAAAAAAGGTGTTGTTGGTGAAGAAGGTATTCATTTTTCTGAAGGAGATTCAGATGGGTCATTCAGTAGATTTGTTTAACCGTAGGGAAATTGATAATGTGCCCAGTGTTTGAGACGTGAAGTTGTTGGGGGATAAAATTGATTATCTTTTAATTGTACTGAGGTTGAGGTAGAATCAATATCTGTTGGGGAATTTGTTGTGTTTGGGGAATTTGAAGTTTGAAGGATAGGAGTTTCTGATATAGTTTCTGATTGTGGTGTTGAAGTTGATGGGTTAGATGAAGCTTGTATTAAAATCTCTTTTTGGTGATCTGAGTTTCTCTTTCGTATTGGATGAATTATCTGTCTAACAATTGTTTTTACCTGCAAATGGTTTTGACTTTGATGTCTTATTCCTATTAAGTCTTGTGGAGTTGAATTGAGAGGTAGGTATTATGTAGGTTTGTTTAACGGTTTGCTTAATTTTTCGTTTTGATTTGCGGGAATCAATGGTTCTGATACTGTTGCTTAAGGTTCTTCAAGAGTGTGGGGGTTTTCTTCGTATGAAAATTGAGTAGATGTTTGTGAAATGTTTGAAGATGTAGTTTGACTTTGAGTTGTTGGAGGAATTTGGGTCGGATTTTGGGTTGGATTGGAAGGTGGCGATTTGGGTTGGGGTTTTGATCAGCAGTTTTGATTTATTTCTTTGGTTTTTTTTTGTTTAATGATTTAAAAGGCAAAATGCGCTTGATATTCTTCAATAAAAATTGAAAATAGTTATTATAGCTACTAGGAAAACAATTAATGCTTTGTAGACATTTAAAAAATGTTAGGATTAAAGATGCTAGTCAAATCAAAAAGATTTTAAAAAGTTTTACAAGTTCTTTTTTTTGATAAAAAGAGTTCCTAATATTTGAAAGGGAAATTGTGAAAAGTTAAAATCCATCATTCCTGGGTTGGAGGTGTTAAATTATTTGAGAAAGGGATATATACAAATGAAAAAGGGTATTGAAAATTGAATACAAAAAGTTTGACTAAGGATTATTATAATATCAATTTGTCTGTTAAGATGAAAATGGAAAGTTGTTGAAAGATTTCGAAAATTGAAAGAAAATTTTTCAGAGTTGTGGCGACTGGTTTGAAAGTGAGCATTCGGAAAGTGATTTGATCCGAGAGTTTTTAGTGTTTTTTATTTTCGTTTAGGCAAGGTAGGGTTTTATTGAGTTTCGTCGAGGAGTTTGGAAATTGAGAAGTATCGGTGATGGAGAGTCTGGAGGCTTGCTTCGATTTAACTATTTCTTGTTTTTGTTTGTGTAAACAGGGGTTTTTGCGAGATATTAGTGCTTTAGGTTAAGTGATTTTGACACTTTTTCACTTAAGGCTTATTTGGATATTTTCTTTTGGGTTAAATGTAGGTAATTTTTTTTATCTGATCTTGTTGATTTTTGCTCAGGGTTGTCGAGAGGGGTTGCAATTTAAAGATGATTTTTCTTTGAAAGGTCAAATATTAATGTAGTGCTTATTTTTGATCTGGAGGTCCTTAAGATCTAGTTATAGTTCTAGTTCAAATTTAAAATGTGTCGTTTAATTGAACGATGGGGGCGAATGAAAGATTGTGAAAGAGAGAAGCGCTGTAATTTGTCATTTTTGTTTGTCTCTATTTCTCAGAAATAGAGTTCTGAATTAAAATGTATACAATCTGCAATGGTAGCATTCAAGATAAATAATTTTGGTTTTGTCATCAGAAGAATGATGATGTTTTCATATTGCTGGTTATTCAAGTTGTTTAAGATAGGTTTATTTAATTTTCATTTTTCTTTAGATAGTTCAGGTTTATTATATTTTCATTTTTTAGACAGGTCGTTGAATTCTGCTTTTTTCAAGGTTTTTGATTATGGAAAAATTGTTTGATAATTTTTCACTGGTTGATTTCGGAGTCTAGAAGGTTTTATTTCGGGTATTAATTTTTTTTTCTTCTAAAATACGGTTTTTTTGTAGTTGATTTACTTTTAGGTGGTTGTAGTTGTTTTGTGTAGTTTCTCTTTTGTTAGTTCTAGTGTTGTTGAGTGCTCTAAAAGGTTTTTATCATTTGTAACCGGTGATAACTTGAGTTTTTTGTCTACCTGAATTGAAATTAAAACCCCGATTCATTACACTTGCTAAAGCAAGCTTCTAATAATTGGCAATTAGACTTCTGTTCACCTTATCAATTTTTCTTATAAATCTTTCCTTCTTTTCCTACTTGATTTTCTTTTTGACCCTTATCAATTTCTAGGTTCGTTTCCAGGTGGCCTAGAGAACTTGGTTTCGTTTTCACCCTAAAGTCTTGGGATTGAGTCCCGGCCAGACTGGCTCAAAAAATTCAAATATAAAATGAAAATGATTTTTTTGCGACACCGTATCTAGTATAGCAATGTTTAATGCATATATTTTGCGTGACAGGGAAATTCTTTTGCAGTTTTTTTAAATTGATTTTTTCTGTCGTTAAGATCAGTTGCTTCAATTATCTTAGCTTTTTATTTTTTAAATTCTAATCATGTCTTTGAAAAAGTGACGGATGCAGCAAAAGTTTGTGCTTTTGGTTGATATACGTTGTATTTATTTTTACGCTCTCCATTGGAGAATTCGGGTCTGCTTCAGTTTCGACAGTGAATTTATGTTTATAGATTTTCCAGCGGATTAAAAAAATCTAGATTGTTACACAAACAAAGCTTGTGTTATAGCATGAACTATCTTTTTCCCCAACCTAATTCGCCCATATTGTTGCAATGCAGATGTTGTTGCAACAAAATGTGTTCGTTTTGATTAATAACCATTATCAAGCTATTAAGTACACCCTATTAAGCATTGGCTGTTCTCAAGCAAGCTATTAAGTACAGCCATTAATAACGATAATAACAAAGACTTCTATATTACAAATACCACTTTAGCGTCCAGGTATCATAGATTTGTACCATACAGGTAGGGAAGGCGACCAGCGATAAAATAAGAGGGTTCGAACCTGAACATGGTCGGATTTTTCTTATGAACTTTTTCGTATATTAGTTAAAATGCGTCTGCTCTATAAATTGAGGCATGTTAATTGGTAATTTTCTCTTTTTTTTCTCAAATTGACGGGTACTGATAATGCGTCATAATAAGCTTGCGTCACTTAGCAGTTTTGTAGACTCATCATTGGCGTGCGTCACTTAAGAAATTTCGTGGACTCTAGGCTTTAATCAATTGATTTTTCCCAGTAGCGTTATCTGTCATATTTTTGCTTGTGTATGCGAAGTGCAATTCGCCTCTGTGTTCAAATTCGTTTGTCGTGTTTTTTTGGCCAATTCGAGGGGAATTGACCCTAGCCGATGAACGAATTGGAAAAAACGTTTTTTATTTATATTTTTGTGAATTAAAAAAAGGTACATTAACCAAGTTCATTAACTTTTCCTTTCTTTTTTTTTGCTAGCCTTGTTCTTCTTGAATATGCAACGCTTCATCTGAAAAGACCTTTGGCACTTGACGGTTTATTGGAGAGCGGTTTATTGAAACTGAAGTGGGAAGGGTTTTTGTCTTTTTGCGTGCTTCATTTCGTTTCCATGCAAAATCAGGAACCAGAAAAACCCTCAAACTTTCAAAAAGTTCTCTCAGTTTTTAAGAAAGTTGATTGAAAAACGTTTTGCTCTTTGGTTGAGTTTAGAGCGAATGATTGTAGCGAATATTTCTCGATGTTTTGAATGCTGTTAATTAAGGTGCGAAAAATTAAATTCATCAGCAGTTAGAAAACAAGCTTTTAAGCTTCAACCGGAGCTTCGTATCTTGTTTAAGTTTCATCAGTTTCAAAAACTTAAAATCAAACAGGATTATTTAAACAGAAAATAACTGGAAAAAAGAGTTTGTTTTAATTTCGCTTCGGTTATTCAATTGGCGAAGTTGAATGCAGTCACTTGAAAGCATCTTTATTCTAAACTTTTTCAATTTTTTTCACATGCTGCACTAAAAACATATCTTTTGTGATATTTGCTCCGTAACCTGCGACTTCTGTTTTTTTCATTGTGTAAAGGTTTTTTTTTAAAATTTATTTAGGCCGTGAAGATTTTTTTGTTGTTTTTTTTTTCAGGAGAAAGTTCCACGCTCAATTTTGATTTTTTGCAATTTGACTTTCGATTTCTTTTGGATTCTATTGATCCAGTTTTCTCCAAGAGGAATAGGTAAGTAAAATGTGCCCATAGTAATTATTTCTTGAAGTTCGAAGAGCGTTCCTGTCTATATTTTTTGATCGAAAAATTTCGTTATCTTTTATACGATTTCCTTGAGTTCTTTAACACTTCCAACTGTGCGTCGGAGTTGTTTTTGCATTTCAACCGAAAATGTGCAAATGAACGAAGCTCACTATAATATATGAAGGTCGAAGGACAATTTTCTTAAATAGATTTATTTGCTGACTATCTGTTGGCTAAGAATGTCCAATGAATGCTAATTGAATTTGTTGCTAGGTGTTGATCCCCGTGCTAAAGTTCTTGAAAGGTTTTCGATAGTTCGATTGCGCTGAACAAACAATCTTTTTCCAGACCTGTGTGCAATGCTAATGGTGGATCGATGATAGTGGAATCGCCTTCAGACGCGCCGAAAGAATCGCCCACTGCGTCATCGCCTGCTGCTGGAATCCCGAAAAGCTCGCCAAATCCAATGGCCACGGCGAATATTGCAGGACTGCCTGGGATGCTTGCGGGAATGCCTCCTCCGCCAGGGGTGAATGCAGCAGCGGCAATGGCTGCGCTCGGAATGCCCTTTCCCATGCCGCCGCCTTTCAGCATGACAATGCCTCCTTTTTTCAACCCCAGTGCAATGAGCGAAATGGTCAGGATGTACGGGGGTGGGGGTGGGGGTGGGGGTGGGGGCGGCAACCCGGTGGTGGGTATGATGAACACTGTTGCAGCAGCAGCTGCGGGAAGTGGCGGCAATGCAGCTAACATGCAGGGAGGAATGGCTGCGTGTTTGACTGGCCCCAGATTCATTCAGCCACCACCTACTAGTCACATGAACATGAATAATGTCTCCTCCAGGGGGGCTTTCAGTGAAGGTGGTGCTCAAATGGGAGGGGGTGGTGCTCATCCTTCCCCTCCATCTTTCTTGCCAGAGATGCCAGCTGTAGTCAATATGCCCAGCTCCACCTCCTCAGTCGACGAAGACTACGATGACCTGTCGGCTGACGATGACTTCGATGTAAGCAAGGAATTCCCTTCAATCATTCTCACTTCATAACATTCTAACACCAATATTCCATTTAAAGTATACAGGCATAGTTTACACGATACGATATTTTGTCTCGTTTTTGTTTGATAGACAAATAATTCGAATAAGCAGCTTGTCGGTTAGATGCGCCGTTGGTATTACCATCCACCAAATCTGTTTGAAAGTAATCAGTTGTGTTTACTATTTGACTGCTGTGCTGGCTACATTTGAGCTGAACAAAACTTAATTAAAACCAGCAGTGCCTCGAAGCGTGCTTTATATTCATTTCTTCGAAATTCACTAGTCGCTTATTCTTATCTTTCAGTTTTTATCTAATGTGAAACGAGTAAGTATAGCAAGGGCGTTTTTTTCTTGCAAAATCAGCTACCAGAAAAAACGAAGCTGTTAGTACATCGAGTTTGCTATCATATCAGCCTTTTTGTTCGCAATTCTGATTTCGAAAAAATCAAAAATCGTTTTACGGTTTTGAAAAAACATCTGATATTTTTTCAGAATTATGTAGATGTAGTAATTAACGGGTGTCTGAACCCCTAGTTTGATTAAGCTGCATTATTTTTGGTTGTTTCTTCATTCTTGCATCTGATTACTTGAATAAATCCGTTCTCACTCCCTTAAGAACAACCGAAATTTTCCAGAAAAAAAATTTCAGGAAGATGTCAATTTTTATTTTTTGGTTGACTTATTTTTATTTCTATGGTTGAAAGAATATTTGTTACTTGCACAGGGACTGTCTGTGATTATTAACTTTCGCGGTCAGTTGAATTCTAAAGACTACTACTTAAAACGGTTTTTTTCAAGAGTCATGAATATAGTGAATACTCGTGTGTTGGTGACTTTTTGTTTGTTATTTTTGTCGGGAAGAAAATTTGTTCTGGCTCAAATTTACTTTTTTGCTGTTTGAGTTGATTTCTTTTGAAGTTAAGTTCATTTCCTTTGTTCAAAAAGAAGGCAAACTCCATTATCGCCTAATTATTATGATAAACGTATTAAATAGAGAAAGACGATAAATACTACTGAAATGAAACATTGTTTAACCGGAGAGATGCCATCACTGAAGTATCATGATCTAACACCTGTTTGCTCCAATCCTTCCTGCAAAAGATGGTTTATTAAAGTTTATTGCACTCATTCCTTGTGGGTAAAAGGTGAATCCAGAGGCAAAGCAGGCGCCCCACCCACGCGACCTGTGTTTTTTACCAACCTACCTGATCAGTCAGGCCACGATCTTGTTTTTTCGATTTGATCGGTTAACGGGAAGCTGTTTGTGATACTCAATCATCTTTAAAAAATGAAGGAGCAGGTTTTCACTTAGCCACCTATCCATTTGGGGTAATTTGGGTTGAAGTTTTGATGTGCATATCCCAAAAACCCCAATAAAGCATAAATTTACCCGAGTTTTCTTGTGTTTGCATACCACATTTTCGATCTGGCTCTGGCCATGACTTGTTTAACTTATGTCTTTCTTCGATTTTGTCTATAATCAAATAATTTTATGACCGAAGTAAAAGTGCCAACACATCAGCGCTACACAAGGTGAAGTAAGAAAATTAACAGCTTGAATTTATTTTCTCGGTTTGTCGTTTCGGATGCTCCCCACATGCGACCACAAGTGTCCCAAGGAGCATCCCATAAAGATTAAAGCAAAAATGTAACAATAATGAACCCGTCGTCAATTCTGGTCAGTTTTGCTGTTCAACACTCCATGATGGTTCAAAGAGCAGTTTAGTGCCGCATGGAAAAAATAAGATCAATCTCGCGCATGAGATTTATGAAATTATTAAAACTTCTTAAAAAAATCCCAGTATTTGTAGTAGCCTTTAAAAGATCCAATTTGAAAAAATTGTAAAATCTAAAATTTTATCTTATTTTGGAAACTAAAAACTCTTTGCCTGCAAAATCGACTATGGGGAGTTCAAATAGGTCATCAAAACTCAGTTTTTAGTACTTTTGAAAAAAAAAATTCTAATCAAAAAAAGTTGAGTCAGAAACGTGAAAAACCTTTTTTTTTGTCAAAAAGGCAAAAGAAGATGTTCCAATCAAATTAATAAACTAATCTACACTTTTTGAATCTGTTCAGAATGATACTCATGACCGTAGCGGTAGAAAATACCCATTTTGAGAAAAGTCGAAAAAACACCTTTTTGGTGAACTAAAAGAAATGGAATAATCGGGTAAAGTGGTTGTCAAACTTATAGGATCGAAAAGTGACCTTTATAAGGTATAATTTGCGTGTCAATTAAGGGTCGCATGCAAAAATCTAGAACAATCGTGAAGGCCATTTCTGAGAACGAGACTTTTTTTTGGGAATTTGGCTATTAGTATTTGTAGTAATATAGTAGTAGGTGACCGCAGAAAAAACTTGTTAAAACCACAATTTTTAACCATTTTCGAAAATTTAATTCTCTATACCTATTAAATTGATTATGGCAAGCTCAAATATGCCATCAAAACTCACTTTTTCTCACTTTTGATCAATTTTATTTCTTTGATAAAAAAATGTTGAGTCAGAAAGGTGAAAAATCAATTTTTTTCAAAAACTCAAAACAAGTTGTTCCAATCTAATACATTCACTTGGCCACTTTTTATGAACCTGTTTAGAATGTTTTTCATGATCAAAGCCAATAAAATAACCCATTTTGAGAAAAGTCGAAAAAACACCTTTTTGGTTAACTCAAAAAGTGGAGAAAATGGTCCTATAAATAAAACCATCAAAAAGTGGCATTAACAAGCTGCCATTATCTCGTCAATTTATGGCCGCATGCAAAATATTAGAACAATCCTATGAACCTTTTTTGAGAAAAAGACTTTTGTTTCGGAATTTGTCTATTAGTATTTGTAGTAAGATAGTAGTAAGTGACCACAGAAAAAAAACTTTAAAAACTACATTTTTTAACCATTTTTGATAGTTTAATACTCTTGATTCGGCAATAAAGGGCGAGTGACAAAATTTAAAGAAGAAATAATGGCGTTGGTAAAGAGCAGCTTAAGATGCACGAGAATAAATTTACTCTAAAAACGCTTTCAGAGGCAGAGTTATTGGAGAATAATAATCGAATGGATAATGTATAGATTATTGGCCTCGTTGAAACGATCACTGAGGAAGGGCGCAGAGAAAAGATGGAAACAACAATAAAGAAAGTTGTAGATATTGGTGATGCACTAGAGGCGCAAATTGTTGAAAACGACATATCCATTGCTCATAGGTTGCCATCAAGAACGACCAGAGAGAAACCAGTAGTAGTTCGATTTGCCAGGCGTATCAAAAAGATTCATCTGCTGCAAAAAAAGGAACCTAAGAAACACCGAAAAATTCAAGGTTGGTAAACATTTCGAAGATCTGAGTACTGCTAAGTTCAATTTCATGAAGATGATGAAGTGTGACGAAAGAATTCAGTCAACATGGACAAAAGAGGGAACAAAAAGAGGGAACAATTTTTTTTGTGTGGAAGAGTGATCAAAAATATATAAAGTTACTCGGCTATACTACAAAGGTGGAAATTTTTTGAATTACATTGTTGAGAGTGCGATGAACTGCTTCAATGTTGTTTTTTTTTGGATTTCCAATGGACAGGAAGGATCATGAATCAATTGAAATTCAAATTCAAATTAATATGCGTTGTGCTAGTTTTAATGCTCTGGTATCTAATGTACTATTTCTAAAAAAGCATCAAGTAGATTTAGAAGCACTAGCACTTCTAAGTAGTCTCGAGTCTCCACTCAAAATACTTTGGCTAACTGAAACTCAGTTAAATGAAATAGACGATATCATAAATTAAGATTGAAGGTTTTCATACATAGATACCATGATACAACTAGGTAATAAAGTTAATCTAATTGATCAGTTGGATTCGGAATTACCTGAATCTGTCTCAGTTCTTGTGGAGTTCAATGGCAAGAAAGCTATAATATTGGCAGCATATGCACCACCTAGATACGACAAACAACTGTTTATCGAAATACTGGCTAAAGAACTTGAACATTTTGCCCAACGCAAATTACCGATGATTGTAACAGGTGTTTTAAATATAGAGACAATTAAAAAAAAATCTAAAGCGAGATTATCTAGATATATCTAGATATGATAACATGCAATGGTTTCCTTTTTTTCTAAGTGAGTCGAAATATTGATGCTTATGAAACATGAATAGACTATTTTTTGACAAGCAATTGAGAAAATGCAATCCTAACAGTTCTCGAAAATGATTGCTTTTCCGACCACTATCCGATAATTCTGACTGCACCTTTCATATCAAAATCTGAAGAATCGTTCTATTCATACCGAGATATGTCATTTCTTAATAAAGAAAAAAATGAACTGTTTCGTATTCGTTTTGAAAGAGAAATTAGAGTTGTCGAATCTGGTCAACGATGAGAGAATTAATGATGCGTACGATAAATTTGAAGTTTGTTTTCTTGACTCGTTAAATTTGTTTGCTCCATCAAAAAAAATGTATCCCAAAATCAAAAAACAATGCGCCCTGGTTTCATAAAGGATTGAAAAATGCCATGAATAAAAAGAACATGTTATACAAGTCACGGAAATCCGATAAATTGAATGCCAGTAAGAAAAATAAGTTTATAGAGCAACGTCGAAAGGGCGAAAAGCCTATAAGAGTTACAAAAAAACACTATTTCTATCATAAACTTAATAAATGCTTAGAAGTATTTCAGTTTCTAAATTAAACAAATGGGAGAAGCCCAGAAGCTGAGAATTTGGCTTCGCTGCCTGTCGATGGCAACAGTTTATCGGATCCTTGTTTATTATCTCACGCCTTCAATGATTATTTTTCGCCAAAAGGCTCTAGGTTAGCTCTTACCAGTGAGCCTACTGAGCCAGTTGTTGAAGTTAACAATGCTAGTCAATCGAAGAATGTTTTTAATTGCACGTTCAGTGAGGTTATAAACGTTATTAAGAATTTAAAATCGAAACAAACCTGTGGAATTGATGAAATAAGTAATATTTTACTGAA